GGTTTTTTTTATTATGGTGTGTGTATATATATGTGTGTCCGTGTGTTTGCTGGTATTAATCTTTATAACAGTTGCATCACTTATATGCTTTTGTATTTTGTCAGTTTGTGACCATGTGCTTTCTTAAAATCTGTGGTAACCTGCCCTGAGTGCAGCCCTGGAAACAAGGCAGGCGAGAAGAAACTCAATGAATAAATCAACGCAACCTAGAGCAACGTTTTGGTGCCCTTAATGGAAGGCAGCCCAGTGCAGATTTCCCCAGGCATTGCAAGCTGGATGTTTCCTTGCACAGACCGGGCCTCTCTGCTTGCAGCAATAGCAACCGACCAAATGCGCTAAATTCCGCTCGCCCAGAGGATGCCAACTCATCCACTCCTAATCTTCTGACATGTATATTAGCGAGAAACACATCCTGCTCCTGAGTTGGATGTAATGCCGCTCAGGGATATCTGTGGCACGTCTCCGAGAGTGCAAAGTCCTTAACGGAGGATCAATCTGCCTTTTGGAAGCCCGGCTGCCCGGCACATCACGGCCGCTCTTCGTCAACGGGCAAATGACTGCCTTTGACACTTGAAATCAGTCTCGGCCTACTTTCGCTTCCATCTCAGGGCCGGCAACTTTTTGCAGAGGGAGTGAAAACTATGCGCAAAGGATGCCATGTGCCACCGTTCTCGCCTGCAGATGGGCTTGTAATAACCTCTGCCCATTGTGCTGGAAAGCCCATCCTCCTTGCGCTAGGCCCATTTAGCAGACCCCAAATGGAAGCTGCAAAACTCTTGCCAACCAAAGGAGATATAGCACAGGTTCTCAGCTCTTCTGGCCAGCTCCTTTTTCCCACCGACAGACAGTGACCTTCACGAGCCTGTTATTATTATTATATATTTCTATCTTTCTGCTCTCTTCCTCTCCGGGGTTATAAAATAAAATAGTAATTAACACCCACTCAGCCTGACACCAACTATTTATTTTGTTCTAACTGTGCTGTTTCCGTATTATCGCTGCCCACCCTGCCGTTAATGGAAATGTTAATAACCAGCGCCAGGTTGTTGTGACAGATGCTTGGGCTCATTATCAGAAATTCTTATTTACCGCTCCATTAAACGACAGAAACGCACACCCAAAAGGAAGGGGGAGGGAACCCAAAAAGGATTTTTTTTAAAGGAAAAAAACATCTCCTAGAATAAGGAACAATTCAATCAAAACTAACTAGGAGAATTTTAAGAGCAGCATTAATAATCCAAAGCATCGATAAAACTGGTGGAGTTTGTTTGCGTTGGCCGCGGCAAAATTATTGTTGTACAATTAAACAATCAAATGCAAAACTGGGTCTAGCCGGTCTCACGTTTGATTCAAATAAATTATATCACCATTTATTGCTATTTTAACTGTCTTTTAAAATTGCTGAAGGCTGCCTGCTTCATAGAGCACAAATTAATATTGTGACACAAAAGAAGTCCACTATTCGATCTGGAAAACACTTCTGTAGATTTCACTGGATGTATACCATAGATAACAGGGCGTTTGATGTCTAGAGACAGAAATAATATTTGAAAATATACAAAACCAGTTTTAAAAGCTCCTAACTAACTGAATCCTAAATGGACAAGAATCTTAGCAGTTTAGGATTTATTCTCTACAAAGGCCACTTGTGGTTGATTTGCAGAGAAAACAACATTTTCTGTATTGGAAACAGCCTTTTCTGTGCAGAAAACAATACTACATAGAAATATTTTCTGTACATAATATGCAACATATTTTCTGTACATAAAATGCAAAATTCTGCACAAAGCATGTGCCGTCACACCCAGATCCTATAAAAATAAAACTAAGATGTGCTTCTCTCTTTGTCTGGGCGGACCACGGGGGTCTTTCTTTAGAAGCTTGAGATTTCCAGCAACTGAGGCT